GGAAGTTAGAGGTCTCAGGTAACAGCCAAACAACAGTGGGATAGCAAGAGAACTACCTGAATGAGTCAAAGGGAAATGCGGAATCAGGATAGAATTCACAACTCAATGTGAATTTTTAACTACTTACCATATGCAAGGCACTGATAGTGCTGACAAGAGCTGGAAGGAAAATCTGTGGTAAGAATCTGTCTTTAACCTTGGATTCTCGGATTTCAGGAAAAAAACTCTGGTCTATGCAAATGTACTGTTCTTCAAACGTGAGGGGGGTGCCTCTGAGCCACCTCAATGTGATGTATTCTGAATTATTATACCCAGTATAAGGCTGGCCCTTCTTTATAAAATTTAATATTCAAATTTCCAAACTTGAGAAACAGATAGGTATAAATGATTCTCCTTTATTGGCCAGTTCCTTTAAATAACAGCCCCAAGAGAGCATTAAGGTGCTTATTTACAGATTGTAACTACTTGAGGTGACAGAGTAAACTTTTAGGAGTCACAGGCAACTAAAGATCTACATGATTCTATGTATCAAAATATCTTTTATAAACAACTTTACAAGAATATTACATTGGGTAACACACACTGGATCCAAATGATACCTTCCTGATGAAAAAAAAGGTACACATTTATAATCCTGCCAGCAAAGTATCTAGACAATGAACAGATTTCTGTTACAAGTTAAAAATCTAAAGGAATTTACAACAAAGTAATATGGAAACTGTGCCTAACGAACTAAACAGAATCAAACAAGAAAAAGAGAGGTAATCAATATCTGGGGGAGAAATCTAAAAGAGATAGGATCTTCTTACACCTCTGACTCCTGTTCAAAGACTGGCACTAAAACAGTAGTCATTCTAAAGAGAAGTAAGAGATACTAATGATGTGGAGAAGATAGGAAATGTCAACCTATCAAATCACTTCTCAGTGAATCTAAGAAGTACAGGTGTAAATTCTATAAAACTCCATCAAGGGCTTCCCTGGTGGCGCAGTGGTTGAGAGTCCGCCTGCTTTTGCGGGGGACACGGGTTCGTGTCCGGTCCGGGAAGATCCCACATGCCGCGGAGCAGCTGGGCCCGTGAGCCATGGCCACTGAACTTGCACGTCCGGAGCCTGTGCTCCGCAACGGGAGAGGCCACAACAGTGAGAGGGAGAGGCCACAACAGTGAGAGGCCCACGTACTGCAAAAAAAAAAAAAAAACAAAAAAAACCCAAAACCGCACCAAGAATTAGCCATAACATAATCCTGATAAGAAGTGGATCATCCTAAACATCTAAGCATTACCACTGGGTCTCTACCTGGTATGCTTCCTAAGTCCCAGCTGACCCTTCTGACGAATTAGTGCTATATATGCTTTATTCAAATATATCCTACAAGCAAGATTGTTCTGTGGTGTTCTTTTTCTCCTTTCCCCTATTGTGCTGGTGGTAAAGGTCTGACTGTATAGATCCTAGGTCAAATGCCTAAGGTATCACTCTAGAAAGTCACCCCAAATGTTCGTACAGATGCTCTGATAGACCTTCCAGAGAAACGTGTCTATCTTACAAGGTTTTCATCAACAAGCTTGGGTTTATTCTATGGAAAAAAAAAAAAACCTTGACACAATGTCAATTTCCAAAGGCCCAAGGACAAATATCACAGCTGTAACACGAAGTAGCAGAAAAAGAGGGATAAATACCCAGTTATGATGGGGAACTAGCTGACTTGTTTGGTTTGACTGATAACTGCCAACATTAAATAAGGATTCTCTTCAGCTGTGGTACAATGTACACCGCCCTTACAACTCAAGGACTCCTTTTCTCTCCCAAATTTTCCTGGTAATTCCATCTGAAAGCACCAGTGACAGTCATGAACAAGCCTTAACACGGGAATCAATACTATAACTATTAATACTGTCCTGTGAAAATTTCCTTTAGAACTTACTACCAGCAGAAGTTGTCTCCCTGAGGAAGTGGTGTGTATCATTTCCCATGTCTGCTAATGAGACTATAATTCTGATTCCTTTTATCCTCTGGCTCCTAGGAAGCTTAGAGTTGCATGTGATGATCAGCCTCGTCCACTGTCTTAGCCCTCAGGGTTAACAATGTTTTTTTCCTTTTTTCTATAGTTTGGACTTCCCATCTGTATTGTGTGTGTCCTGTGTTATAAGCCACCTCAAATGCTCATTAAAGACAGGGAGTGTAAGTATGCTAATGGACTTCTTTTTAAAAACCACTTTTGCTATCTTAGCTCCCAACACACACCTATCTGCACTTGTTCCAAACAAAAAGCACTTATTTGGCAGATGAGGAAACTGAGGCACAGAAGCTCACTTGCTCAAGGTGGTACCCATTTAGTTGGCTTTTTGACACTCAGATCAAGCTCTGAATCAAACCAAAACAAGTCCCATTATCTACACACTACTGTGGTAGATCCCGGGGCATACAAAAATGAGTAAGTTGTGATTATAGCTGAAGAATCTTGCTATCTATGCTTTTAGTTAAACGACATCTAGTCTATCCTAAAGTGAATAAAACTTCACTAGTTACAATGGAATCTGTTCTGACTGAAGACCATCAAGGTCACCCTGAAGTAACCTATAGCCTCCGACTGGCACCAGAAATGTCCTCATTTCCTGAGGGGCCTCAGGGCTTAGAATGATCCAAGGATTACTTGGTCTAGAGCCACGCTGGAATCCTCACAGGCAAAGGACAGCACTATTTGAAGAGGCCTTTTCTCACACCATTCAATACATGCCAAGATAAAATTTTTTCCTCTTACTTTGCTCATGCTTTCTCACATTATCAACACATGGCAGAGGTACAAAAGTGACTTAAGTCGTTATGTCTGATTCAGCTGAAGTTATGAAAAAACAGATTACTTAGGACTTGCAATGTGACCTTGACTAGTCCTCGATCAACTCATTAACTAGATAAATGCCTTTCATCATCACTAGGGGAAGGGTATTAGTCATCATAAAGCACTTTAATACAAAGTGCTGTGTAAATACTAAACAACAAAGCTCAGAAAGAGCAAAATTAATAAGAAACACAGGGGTACATTTACCAGCAAATGGAACTTACAACAGGGTCTTCCCACATTCCTGGCAGGGACCACTCCTTTCAGCTAATGGAATATGAGTCTCTAAGATCATTAGCACTTGGCCTGACAATAGTTCACATTAGCAACATTTCTCCTTGTAAGAAAAGAAGAAAATTTATTCCTGGTAGGCAGCCATAAAGACATCTCAATTACTAGTTAGCCAGATGGACAATTACTATTTGAGTACCTACTATATGCTAGGTACAGAGCTAGGCACGACAGATACAATGGTGAACACAAGTCTCTGCCTTTATGGAGTCTACAATCTACAATACAAACTTTGTCTTATTAATAGTGGCACCTGCAGAAACAAAGCCTTACTAAAATGAAGGCAAGTAAAAAAAAGATACCTAATCCCTGAAGAACTAGACAAACAATAGGCTAATGGGGAGAGGAAGAGTTCAGGGAATTAGGTTACCAGGGATTTCCCATTCTTTCCCCTAACTCATCACAGGTACTATCCATATTCCATTAGCTTATAAAGACTGTGACTTTGTCTCCACATAGTGCAGATTACAAAGGTTTACTGCTCCAACAAAGCAGTCAGCTGAACTGAGAGCACTAAAAATAAGGTCAGTCAGACTTCTTAGAATCAAGGGATCATCTACAAAGTGTTTTTAGGCATTCTATTGGTAAGATCTAAATTTTGTGGGAAGACAGAGCTAAAGCACACAATGGTGACCTGTCTTTTCAACCCTGCATTTGATTTCTGGACTGGTAGGTTAATTTCCTTAAAAGAAAAAAAAAAATCATCTCTCCCACTTATGACAGCTTACCTAGTTCAGCCTGAACGACTGTAACTATTCCTGCAAACCTTGCTTTGTGCAGCTTATACAAGCAGTGCATCCCATCAAACACTGCAGGAAGAGATAGCCTTGAAACTCTCTGTCTTTATATAGGAGGGAAATATTTATCCAGGTTCTTAACTGGTTTCAGAAAGGTCACCTCTCTGCAAAGGTTCTCTGGTCTACTGTTAACTGGGTACCAGTTATGTGGAAAATCAAGATGTGTTTGGCAGAAAATGCTCAGAAAGCACTAGGGATCCCAATTCCACCACTCAGAGAGCTGGTTAGATTAAAACCTCCAAAGGCTGTCATTTAATCTTCCACAATAAGAGAATTAGAAGGATGTCCTTTGAGTTCAACCCACAGCACAACAGACTAAACTTGTTCTGCCTCACTAAGTGCAGTAAAGAATGAGCAATCGTTCCTTCCCACCCACCCCTCCAACCCACCCAAGCTCCTTTCTCAAGGGATGCCTAACTGATCTATTCACATGACTCTACGATCAACCTGTATCCATGACAGTATCTGCTGTCACCAACCTCCAAAGGTTAATTTCTTAAATATGTCTAAACTAGACGACCACAGAAGGTGAAAATCAGTTTTCTTTTCAATTTCATGCTGCCCTCATCGTTTTCACCTGCATAAAAGAGCTAGCTCCACGCATTTTTTTCATCTTGCCTCCAAGATCGCACGCAGTTGTTGGATAAGCCGGCCACTGCTCCCAAAGAAGCACTATCAGATTTTCACACTCACCTGAGAGGAGACTTCCCGTACACCCTCATACCGAGACTGGACACTGGGGTCACTTCGTTCACCCCCTCCCACTCCCGTCTTCCAGGCCCTTCATCCAGGAAAAGTCAGTCGCAAATTTAAGGCCCGGCCCTGTCGGGTTTCGAAAAGATCCCGGAGGACTTGGGCCGAGGGACAAAGGAAAGTGAGGTCAGGGTCTGCCTTTCCAGCTCGGGATAGGCCTGGGGCCGCTCACCCTCCACCCCTCACACCACCTCCGTCGTCCCGGGTCCCTCAAACCTTGCCCCTTAAGTCCCGAACTAGCTGGACCCGGGCCCGGAGCTCGCTCGCGCCCCTTCCGCGAGGCCCCAGCCCGGACCCCTGCCGCCACCCAGAGCCCCCCGCACCTTCTTGGGCGCCTTGGTGACGGTGGCCATGAAGGAGTACTTCTCGGCGTCCTCAATCTCCTTGGCCTGCTTCAGCTCCTCCCCGACACCGGGCAGCGGCATCGCGTCAGGCATCGACATCCCCCGGCCGGCCCGGGCCGCGGCTGACCCGCCGCCCCCGCCTCTTTCCCTTACGGGCGCCCGCCCGCCTACCCGCGCGGCACCCTCCGACACGCGCTCGCCCACCCTCCAGGCGGGGCCCCGCGCCGAGCCGCGTCCGGTGCTGAGGTGCTGGGGCCGGCGCCTCGTCCGCTCGGCCGTCCAAGACAGCCGGACAGCGACGGCAGCGACAGGAGCACCAGAAGCAAGCAACACGGAGCTCCGACCGGCCCGCGCCACCACCTCCGCCGCACGCAAACACGCACGCAAAGTAAGGGTAGAGGGCGGTGACGCCACGTCGAGTACTGGCAGCTCCCGGAGGGCAGGGGAGAGGCGGGGAGAAACGGCGCTCTGTCATGACGTCACCACTCTGGACTGGGCCGCCGAAGCCACCCCTTTTCCTAGCTCGCTCGGGAAGAAGCTCCAGGGGTGAGCCGGGCCCTTTGTACCGCCAGGTGGCGCCATTAGCCTTGTGAGCGGCGCGTGGTTCCTGCAAGGTTGCCGCGGAACTGGAGGGCCTTTGGACTGCGGGGTTCCAGGAATGGTCTCAGAAGGCGTAGGGCGTAGGGATGCTTGTGAGCAGACCAGAGCCCCACACGACACAGCCTACACCCAGTCCTAGGAAGCTTCCGGGGCCCAAGATAGCCCACTCACTCACTGCCCCCTCCCCAGACCCTTTGAAACAGAAGCCCCTTCCTAAGAGGCAGCGTTTGCCTCTTTGACACCATAAGGGTGGGTAGAACAGACCCAGAGCAGTGTGGTTTCTGCACAACTCTTTGTGACCTCCTCCACCACCGTCTCCGCTGGGCCTTGCTTGTTTACAGGACCTTCGTGCCGCAGAGCTGATGGGATAGGGCTAATGATGGGTCAGAGGATGGAGAAGGAGGGGGAGAGAAGTCGTTGTGTCCCCCCCACCCGCTCCGGATCAAGCATTATACTCTGACAGCTTCCAGGGCCGCACCAGGGCATTCATGGACTATTCACGTGCTATTACTGGGCTCTACTATGTGCTACCCCTGTGCTAAGGCCCTGGATAGTACAGATGTGTGTAATACATTTTATGTTTCGTTAAACCTTAGTCCAGCTGGCAAGGCAATGTCAGCTAAGGTTGCTTGTCCTTTGACATTCAAATGACATTGGCTGAAATTCCCACGTCCTGTGGAAAGTCCAATGCTCCCCCTCTCCCCTGATTTCTGTGAATTACTGGGGGGACTTAGATCTTTCAAGGTTACCTCTCGCTCTAGTTTTCTGCCTCATCTGAAGTTTTAGTCACTCTCCTGGTCTTGTGGCTGTTTCTTTAGTTCCTGCTGTCAATTCAAATATGGAAAACAGTCCCTTCTCCTTTCAACCCGCACCCCTATTCCGAAACAACCACAAAAATAATGCCATAACATGTAGCAGAACTTCTAATGAAGGTTTTTGGGCCACAGGGGAGAGGTTACATCACACACAAACAACTTGAAGTCACATTTCTGAAATGTTCTGAAAAGTTATTTTGGCTATCTCGTCACCCGGGACTTCTCATTAGCCACACCGCCCCACAAAGCTCCCTGGCCCATGGTCGTTTCATCTCCCTTCCTCCTGCTCCTCCCTTCCCATCCCTCCACCTCACCTTCCCCTCCTTGATTGACTTTGGGAAGCCAGATTCCTCTCTACTCTGCTGAGTGTTCCAGTCTTCCCAGGGCCCTTTTCTTAAATTCCTCCCATCCCACCTTCTTATATCCAGAAACCCAGCAGGTCTCTGGCAGGGTCAGCTCTTTCAAGAAAGAAGTTGTGATCTGAAGAAACGTTTTCCCCACTGGTTTACATTCAAGGTTAGGAAGAGTGTGAAATACTTGCTTCTGGGGTCCCAGAACTCTTAGAGAATCCCATGTTCCAACCACCCAGCCCCATGAGGCTGTCTGTTTGAAGTAGTCTGTGGAAGTGCCTGGAAGGATGCACTTCTGCAGATCTTCATCTTTCACTGTTAGGATTCTCTCTTCTGCCCATTCTTTCAAGCCACTTGACTTCCCTCTCAGAAGTATTCCTGTAGCAGAAGGGACAAAGAGATGGGGGAGCAGAATGCGAGATTGCTCCATAAGGGTGCCAGACTGGCACTTTTCTTCTTATTCCCCAGCTGGGGCCAGGAGCTATGCCTGCTTACCCAGGACTCTTTGGATATATGGCCAGAAATAACTTTCATCCTGTGGGTTTGCCCAAACTGTTGTCAGAGTCCAGGGATCAGAGCTGCCTGCTTAGAGAACAGAGTCAGGGCCAGCTGGAACAGAGGTGAAAACTCCACATCCCTTGAATAGGAAAACATGTGACTTAGGTTAGCTTATTTGAAAAAAAACATAGGTGTTTTTGTCTTTTGGGTTTGATTTTTAAAACTCCCGTTGTCTGAGAGCTTTGTGTGTCAGTCCCCCAGCTCTGCCGTGCATGTTGGCATTCAGACTGCAAGATGGCTAGGGACTGGAGTTCAGCCTCTCTTTTATGCCCCCTGAACCAAAGTAACAGGTTTTCCCTTACACTAGGCTCACAGAATTGCCTGCTGCTGCTGCTGATGGTGACGACAGGGCCAGGTCTACAGGAAGCAGTACCTTTGCAGTCTGAGGCAAAAGGAGATCAGCAGGTGTGACTCCACTTACATGAGTGCCTGGCCCAAGTAGAGGCTGGGGAGGCTGACCTAGAGGAGTCGGTGCTTACATTGAAAGCGGGAGGGCCAGCACTCCCTGTCCTGGTGGAAAGGCAGCAGGCCTAGGTGGTTCATGTCAGGCTAGAGCCAAGGGCATTCCTGGAAACAAGCACGCTGTGGAGGACACGGATGGTTGCCATCCCCACTGCTATGTGTGGGCTGGAGATCAAAGAGCTCACCCAGTCGGAGGGTGTGACGACATAACATCGGTGAGAACAACCGCATGCTCCCCGCCCCCCACCAGATGACCCCACATGGCCCAGCTACGGGCATGACTGCTCATGGATGGAAGAAGTGACCTTCCCACCCAACCTGGCCCCAAGTCTAGCTACCAGCCTACTCACCCACCTGTCTGAGCTGAGCCTCCGTGCTAGGTCAGGTGGGTGAGTCAGGGCTCACTGCCCTGAACGGCACCATCCCGATGACAGATGTGGCTACAAGGAGCCAAGGTTTGAGAAGAGCAGGGACCCAAGGACAGGTACACCTGTTGTGTGTGGTGGGGGGAAGTCTCCAAAGGGTCTAGAGCCCAGAGGGACCCTGCTCTAGAAGGGAGTAGCCTGAGGAGAGAGGTGAACTGGGAGATGCTGTTACCAGAAATATGGTAGCAGGAGGTACAGTATGTGGGCTGGGGCTGGTTAATCAAATTCACTCTTCTGTCTACCCCCAACATTACCCTCCACGTGCATTCATTTCTATTTAATTCATAAGATATACCCTGAACGCTGAAGATGTGCTGCGAGCAACGCTAGATGTTGGGACGACAGAGACAAGTGAAGCGCTGAGCCCTACCTGGGAGTGCTGGTGGGATGGGGTATGGGAGGGTGAGCAGGAAAAGCTTTGCAGAGAAGATGCTGCCCCAGCTGATTCTTGACATATAAGCAGCTGGACAAGGCAGGAAAGGGATTCCAGGCTGAGGGAATAGCCTGAGAAAAGGCAGGGCAGTGACACAGCCTGGCATATTACAGGAACTATAAAGATTTCAGTGTGGGTGGGGCATAGGGTGCAAAGCAGGGTGGAGCGAGAGCTGCAGCCGGAGCCAGATCCCACGGAGCCTGGTGAGCTGTGGGTGGCTGGTGGTGACGTCCCCCGGGGTTGGTGAACACAAGGAGGAAGAGAAGCAGGTCAGATGGAGGGGCTGCTAAGATCAGGAGTGAGCTTGAGACATGATGAGTTTGATATGTGTGTGCAGTGCACTGTCCCAGAGGCCCAGGGGAGCCTATGGTGGCTGCTCCCTGCTGGCCTGGCACCCTTCTAGAGCAAGGCCGTGCTCTCCCTAGAGCCCATTCACCTCCTGGGGTCTGAGCCCCAGTCTAGTCATTTTCTTTCTGTCCGGGAGCCCCCTCGTTGCACAACCCTGGGAGGCACCGTAGACACAGTAATTGATGTGAAGGGTGCCCCGAAATGTGACTCCAGATTGCTAATCTGCCCTGCTGGCCCTGAGGGGATGCCCAGGGGCAAGATTCCCAGCTGCACCTCTGTGGCTCTGGGCTCTGGCTCCCCAGGGGTGCCAGGCTCCTACTTCCCACAGCTCCTGGTTCCCTACTTCCAGCCTCCTTCCCTCCCCTCTGCAATCCCAGCCCTGTTGGGAAGAGGCTCCAGAGGGCCAAGGGCTGAGAAAGACGACTCCTTCTCTGTCTCCTCCTCTGCTTGTTATGATCATATGTATTATTTATTTTACTATTTATTATTACTTTGAACATAATCTTTAGAGGAAAGAAAAACCTGTGAAGATAAAAATCTCTTTAGGTCTCCTTAAGTTCACTTCTGGTTCTTCTCAGTTTGCAGAAGCTCACTTTTGCATACCTGTGATCGGTAGGTACAAGTCATTTTGCGTTCTGCTTTGGTCAAATTACAGTATTTCAAAAACATTTTACCACATACAGAGATTGTTTACATACTTATCATTGTCAGTGCTTCCCAAGGGTGCCATCATATTGCCATAGGAGCTTGCCTAATTGTTTTCCAATTGTTGTTTGAGTCGTTTCCAACTCAGTGAAATATAAACAGAGTGTGTGTCGGGGTAGGAGTCAGAGTGGGAATGGCTTTCAAGCAAAACGGACAAGCTAGGGTTGCAGCATCAGATCCTTCCAGAGAGAAGGAGCAAAAATGTTAAGCACTGGGGTCAATTGTCCTAGCTGTAAACAGGGCCTGGGGGAAGGCACATTTTTGCCATAAGGGCATGTGAGGTCCATTGCCTGGACCTCATGATGGCTGATTCATGGGGAGGCTGCATGGTATGGAGGGAAGCTGGGCAGATGGAAGTGTGGCCTCAAGTCTTGACTCTGCTACTAACTTGGCCACTGGGATCCTGAGTTTTCTGGGCCTCTGCTTCCTCATGCAAAACAGGGTGATAGCTCTCCATCTGAGGCTTGTGATGATCCAGTCCAACAAAATAATACATATAAAAGAGCTCTGAACAGCCTGCAAGTATTGTGCAAATGTAAGTTATTAACATGTGGATCCAAGCTAAACATCTGGAGGGGAAAGGAGTTATTGTCGAGAATTTGTGCCTTGCTTCCCAGAATGACAAGAATAAGCAGAAACCTGACTGCCGCAGAAAAGGATTGTCATTGCTGGTCCTGAGTACTTGTTTACACTGGGATTGTACTTCCTTGAAAAGGAAGGCTGGACCTGCCCCAACCATAAGCAGATGTTACTTCACTGGCCCAACCTG